CATGTTTCCCTTTCTTCAGAATGCTTTCTTGACAGCCACCCTTCCACTGAGATCATTTCTGATGAGGCTTCAGTGAACAAAAAGGACTGAAAATGAATGAAAAAGCAGCTAATGTCAAAAGAAAAACTTTGAAAGACCTTCAGAAAGACTAGAAAACTATTCTTCAAGAGCACAAAAATTGCAAAAAAAAAGTCTGGAAGCTAAAGAAGTAACAAATGTGGGGCGATTACTAGATCTGTAGTTCGGATAAACTTAAATGAAAACCCTCTGGAAGATAAAGTGAGGATATATCTGGCAGTTGATAAGTGTTGGAGGAATTGGAGTTGCTCTAACTATACATAGGGCAATAATGTGTTGCCAGCTTGCAACTTTTCTAATAGACATGCATTGAAAAATGCTAAAGACATGAAAACTCGCTTAGTAAACCACTGACAAAGCTTTAACATCAAAAATAAAGCTGTTTCAGCACTCAGGAAATTGCTATGCACAGCTAACATTAAATATATTCAGTGACATCCACCACAGGAACATGGTCCCCTCAGGGCTTGCAGACCAATCACATACTATTTGTTTTAAGTGCCATCATGTGATAAAGGAAGTACCAAAGTCTAATGGAATTCATTTACTTTATAATACCATCACAATGTTTCCAACGACCTTGCTACATTTAATTTAGTCTCATTTCCCCCCAGTTTTTTAAGAAGGCAGGCTGAGTTTGCGGCACATAGCAGAGCTACAGTATGTTGGATTCAGGGTTGGATATGAAGCTGAGTGGCATAACTGCACTGCATAGTGAACAGAAAGCTATGCCTGAGACACAGAATAATAATAAAGTTATGTCCCAAAAAGTTGATTCTGTTCATCTGGACATAGCGTGACTGAAGAAGTCACTTGGATGAGTTATGTTCAGCTGAACATAACTCATCCAAGTGACTTCTTCAGTCACGCTATGTCCAGATGAACAGAATCAACTTTTGGGGATTTTCTTACTTGGATAATTGAGCGTGCATCAAGACAATAAAATTACGTGTGCTACAGTGCTATGCACTTCAACAGGCTTCACCCCTTTAAAAAGCATTTGAACCGCAAAGTGTTTCCCAGATCCAAATTGGTGGGGAAATACTTGCTTTTTATGGGCTCCGTCTGTGCCCTTATCTCTCATTCTCTAATGGTTCAGCTACACTAGGTACCCACTGTTGTTATGTAACATCTGGTCACCATGGGAACTGGTCTCCCTCTCAACTCCCCGCGCCGTATATGGAGTGACCATTTGAGACAACACATCTTGCAAAAAGCTTCACGGGATGGCACAGCAAGCAACAAATGGCCCCCGAGCACAAGATGGGAATAGACAGCAAAGAGCACAAAAGGGCAACGTCTTAAATTGTGATATTTCACTGCATTTATTTTATAGAATGCTCTACATGAAATGGACTGCTGTATTGTATTACGACCATAATATGTGTTGTTTGAATGGAAGTGATACAGTAAAACAATCTGAGATTGTTACACTACACTATAGTACATCTGCATAAAACACAACACTGTGTAATAAATTTTATTTGCATTTATGAGGTTGCTCAGTGAGAATCGCATTAGGACATTATGCGCACTCTGTGGAAACACCAACGCAGCTTTAACATTTGGAGATGATTACAAGTCGATAGCAAAAGCCCAAACTAGAAATAAGCCACAAGCCAATTGCACAGTGTAAGCAATCGCCCTGGCAGCACTAAACCTTCCATAAACTAAACAAAAATCTTTTTTGTAGTGTTGATTAGATTTCATTGGTATGAAGCGATCGATGAAATTCACTCCCAACAAAAAGTTGTCAGTCGTTTTACATACTGCATTTGATTGTCTCCTATACAGTATATACTGTTATGTATGTGATGCTAGACAGTTGAAATGTCTATTCAATTCTATTTTATTGATATAGCACCAAATCACAAAAACAGTTGCCCCACAGCACTTTATACTGAAAGGTAAAGACCCTACAATAATACACAGAAAATCCCAACAATCAAACGACTCTCTTTGAGCAAGCACTTGGTGACATTGGGAACGAAAAACTCCCTTTTAACAGGAAGAAACCTCTGGCAGAACCAGGGTAATGGCCACATACCAATGCATTACTGAAAATACACCTATTGTGCACCAACGACATCACAGGTTATGGCACCTTTTCCCAAAGTAATTGCATTCTAGCACTTGAATCATTTTCTTATCAGAGGACACCACAAATCCTGCATGGATTTTGCAAAACAAGCAAAAAAAAAAAGAAAAGTGTACACCCATGGTAGCAACCTACATGGCAGATGCATGCATCCACAGCAAAATATCAAACTCAGATTACTGGAAATCCACAAGCTCAAGAACAACTCAAGAAACAATCTTCACTTAAAACCTACAAAATGACAGGTGTCTTTTTTTTCCAATCACAGATAAGTCCACATATGCAATCAAATGCTTTTTCCACCAAAGATATTGATGCACTCTCTCTAAACAACATACTCATCTCTTTATCTAATCAACTAGTCTTCCACATCAGTGTGCTTGCCAACCATTTTTCCCCACATCTTTTCTTATTTAATTTTGGCATGCAAATATCTTACAATAGAATCTATTAAAAGGTTCTCTACCAGTTAACTTTCTGTCCTTTCTAACAAGCTGTTGTTTTTTATTTCCTGACTGCATGTGAATGTATTACGAAACTCAGAATAAATGAGATTTGACTCATTAAAGACCGCACAGGCTGAACTGTAGTCTACCGCCTCCAGCTCCAAGTGTTGCTGGTGTACACAGACTTGTAAGTTTGCTTTCCGAAAGGGCTCTTAGACTCATATGAAGACACCGAGGGCCTCGGGTTAGCCTCTGTCACAGATTTCTGAGGCTGCCACTGTCTGGGCAGCGACCTGTAACCGGCATGACTAACTGTGGTGGAGATAGAGCTTCTTACTGGCGACACAAACGATGGGAGCGAAGCTCGACTCAGGCTCCGGCTTTGGCTCCAAGTCTGGCTGCCTGTTTTCTGCGGTGCTTGGTAAGAAACCCTGGCTTTCCACTCTGCTGGCGGCTCAGGCAAGATTTTGCGCTGGGCTGCCAAGCGCACATTCGAGGCAAGGGTTTGCTGGAGGCTCTGGAAAGCAAAAGCTTCATCTACCAGGCCCATGGGATGCCGGGAGGCAGCCTCCCATGGTGTGAGGGGCTTTTGGCTTTTTTCCATCCAGCATGTCTGCCTTGCCGAGGGAGTTGTGGAGCCCAGTGCTGGGGGCTTTGGGGAGGAAGAAGTTGAAGCTGACTTCTGGCCCGTGAACTGTACTCTGGCTGGTGGAGAAAGGGAGTAGCTCCTGCCAGGGGCCTGTAAAGAAGAATCCAGACATGTTTATTTTAGTAAGGGTTCATTTGTGTTTGGCTCTTTGGCCAAATCAAATTAGCTTGGATAAGAGTGAGATGCAGAGTAGCTCCCTGCCAGGATTTCTTTTAAATGCAGTAATACATGTATAATTTACTTGTGTATAGAAGATCAGTCACTCTCTTATTCACAGGGGGTATGTAAATATGGTACGTGTGTAAAAGAGTTCTAGGACATGTCATACTGCAGCCAGTGAATTAAACTGCACTAGCATTTGTCTAAACACATTGTCCCGCTTATTAATCAGAGCAACTGGTACATGAAAGTGCATAACCTTCTGGAAGTATAAGCCACATTCGGCTCATTTCCACTTAATATAGTTTGCTAAACAGCAACAGTTTGAAAGAATAACGAGATGGAAATGCTAAATGCCCAATACCAATAATATCCCCAGGATACTGGTGCTGCAGAGGGTTATGTGGGGTGAAAACACAGCTATACTGCACATAATCTCATCCAATGCCTCCTGTTATGTATGGTGGATAAGCAGAAAAGCCAGTGCTGCCATCATCTGGTGAGTGATGTGCACTGTCAGCTGATAAAATATGGCACAAATTTAAGAAGAGAGAAGAAGAGCGTGCAGAGATAAATGCTAAATCAGTCAAGGGGAATAAAGTCTCTGCTGCTCAGGTATGCGGTAGGCTTAAAATGCCCACAGGAGTGGGGGTCCTGGGCACAAGAATATATGAACAGATCAGTAGGTCATATTTTTACTTTTCTGAAGGAGACCGATAGCCCATTTGCACATGGTTTATGTCCTTCTATGTGCCATTTCTGCCAGATTTAACATGCTCAGAAAACGGGCAGAGCGTAACAGCTGGGCTCCTTACATTTTGAGACAGATGTTCAAAACAGTCTTTAAATGCAGGAATGTTACATCCTGATTTATGGTTTGGCTAAGGTTTGATTTAGGGCATAAATAGAATATTTATCTTGTACTTTTCTTAGTAAAACAGAAATAATATGAAGGAAAAGGTGTCAAAGCTTGGTGTATTAGCACTACAGGGCATTAATGTGTGGGCTCTAAAGCAAGAGTAAACATTTGCTGTCTCTCTTTTATTGTCTTTTGATTGCAGATTGAAGATAAATGAATCGGCATGAGGATCAATTCCCTTCAGAAATAGTCGGTAAAATCCGCTAACTAAGATTGTGAAATGATACTAATACTTTCATTCAACATATATCTGCTCTTTTTCAAAATCCATGATGCAACATGG